AGCATGAGGAACAGCTTTTGATGTATTACGCTCAAATGATTTCATAGTTTGTCCTTTTTCTTTATGACTTCTCAACCAATCATCGTCACTAGGTTTTGGTACTGGCTGAAAACTCTCGTTCAGCTTACTTGTTACAGCTATTTGCATGTCTCTTGGTAACTACAACAACAATCAACGATGTATAAGGCAATAACATTTTGTGTACATCAAGGGTCATCCATATAGGATACCAAGACAGTCATAATGCATACCTTCTTTTGAACAATATCTTTAAGACATGGAGAGTAGATTGAATGAATCTGTTGAACATAAGTATTATTTTTTATTGTGTTAAAATCAATTAAATACTCAGAAAATTCTTTATAAATAGTTAGATTTATATTTGTTGTTTATGAAATTTGAATATACTCTTTTTCATGTTTGATGTATTTATTTAAAAAGACAAAAACAATACATGCAAGTAAGTGGACTCTTCGTAGAAAGTTGTTTTTGTTCGTTAGACTTCCTTGATGAATAACTTATTAGACCTGTTTAATATTACCAAGAGCTTCAGCAATAGATTTCGTATCGGGAGGTATAAAATCCATATCAATGGTAATGCAAAAAATGAATTAAAAGTTGAAATTTTACAATACAATAGAGCTTAAATGGAATAGTTTCAATAGTATTTCATGAGTCCACACATCAATGATGATTAACTTCATATGAGTCTACCAATCCAATGAATTTTTTCTTTGATTTATTTAAAACATACATGTAAAAAGGATGTGATAAGACAAGAGCGATCTCTAGCGAAAAACTTGACTGGCAAAACTTCGTACAAATAGTCATATACAATGAAACCTTTGGTAACATCATAAGAATTTAATTGGTTATGTCTTTAATACAAAAAAAAAAGAAATTACGTTTCAAAGCTTGTTTTAAGTATTCGCAGCATATAAGTCAATTTTAGAAAGAAAACTAAAACAAACGACACGGTTTTGATCTATTATTTTTTTATCTTTAAACCATATCTACTTATACCAAAAGCTATACTTAAAAATAAAATACTTATTCTTGTAATAGTTGAAATTGGATTAATAAAGATCAAAGTCTGACTTTCTATAGAATCGAAACGTAAGAATAAACACAGTGAATTCATGCAATCTCTAGTTGGAATGTTCCAATATTGTAGTATTATTTATGAGTAATGTATGCAAACAGGTTACTAATACCTCTGAAATGAATAACAAGAATCGATCTGCACTGAAAAACAATTTAACTCCAAAACTTGTGTTATTTAAATGATGAATAATACTGTTATGCAGCATGTATAGAATGGTCTTTGATGAATATTCAGAATGATGATACTTTTGAAAAGTTGAGCGAAATAATGAGCATCGTACTGATGAATGTTGATTTAACGACATAAGAAATCGCTGACTTGCAATGCAAAATATTTCTTGTACACCTGTTTTCCATCGAAAAAGAAAACAAAATGAAAGAATAACTTGATACAAAAACATCAATTGTAATCTCACATAGAAATCATTCTTCCTATATACAAACCTCCTTACAGAAGAGGTATAAATTTTGAAAGTAATTTTTCCGAGGATAGTAGATGATTTTATCCGTCATCAATTTAACTTTTTATTAATTGAATGTAGTTATCTCACTTTTGTAAAACATTTTGAACGACTTCATAGCATTTATCTTAACTTTTCTACCAATTCAAAACATTTTTCATTACGATTTAGGTACATATTGAGATTTTAAACACATGAAAGTTATATAAAATTTTTTTAAGTATGGTAGCATTGTCGTGAAGAAGCTATGTTTAAGTTTTCAGCCTCATACTATGGCATTTGAGTAGTATAACCTGTGTGTAAAAAGTTTTTCTACAGCATTCTTATTTCATTTTCGTCCACTTAAAAGTTGCAGAAGAAAACGAAAAGCAATCGACTAGAGCAAGAACTTCATACTCTGTGCAAATATATACTTAGAACTTTTTTCTGACTTAAATCTGATACATTGAGAGTAAATTTTTGATGAGTACCAAAAATGACATTTGTACAAATCGTTAGTTTTACAGATTTTGGTACATATGTTTACTCATTCTTGGAATACTTGAATGTAATTGAAGAGAATTGAGAGTAGTAGCTTAGAACCAGAATTAGGTGTGGGTATGTGAATGTACGTCTGGATGAGGGAGATATTCGCTCCTACACTCAGATCCACATCCCACATCTACATCTCATACCGACATCCTCAAAAATCAATACTTATAAATGCAAGAAAAATTCGTGAACACGTCTACGCATAAAAATAAACGAACTTAATCCAATTGAAAAGTTTAGCTCAAAGAAAAAATGACTTATTCGGACAATAGAGATGTAGCGATGTAGAGATGGGATTGGAGGCAGGAACGCGCATCACCCCTCAGTGTTGCAAAATTTTTAGCTTCCACACGCCTAAGTTTTTATTGTTTTTTTTATATATTAAAAGCTCTCGTTATAAGAAAATACCATTGAACAACTTCTCTCTCCTCTTTTTTTGAAAAAACAATTTACATGTATATTCTAGGATTATAAAAAATTTCTTTGCTTCCATACACCTCTTTCTTTTCATCATATCTCTCTAGTCAGCAATGAATCTTTATGTTTAAAACCAGAGACTGTATGCTATTCTAATTCATTTCTTTGTATATCTGAATGAACTCAGAATCGCTATGAAAACAAACGCTATTTGATTAACTTGAATATCTCTCTAAGGTGTGGAGTTTGGATGTGGAAGTTGTTAATTTCTTAATCCACAGTCACACTCTCAGGAGGTAGAGTTTTAAAGGTGAATAATTTTGTTTCATCCATATGATAGATAGATGCGATCGTTTGAAAGATGTAAAGTTGCTGGACGACACAACTAAATATTGTTCTTAATTATTTCTATTTTATATAAAAGATTTGTAATCATGGTTACACCTATGAGCTTAAATATATTCAAGTACACTTTTAATTTTAGAAAATTTTCAAGTGAATTTTTTCTTCAGGAATGGGGAGGAAACAATGGTCTTTCCCACTCAAAAGTACGGGACGGATTTTCTCAAGTATAGGACTAATGTTATGATGAATATTAGCTTCCGATGACAATTGCAAGATGGCAGTAAGATTAATTCTAAAGCGTATACCAATCATCATATAGGTGGCAATAATATGAGAACTTTGTTGTCAAGTAATATCTTGAACTTTTGATAGATTTTTGAACACTTGTTTTTGTTAAGTTCAACAATAACCTTAATCGCAATTCTGGTTCATTATCTGCTCATTGCAGAACGTAGAAGTTTGAATCAACATTCTCATTTATAAATTCACATTGTGCTAGCTTAGATGCAGGCAAACATTGTTCTTCACAATTTATATATGTTGAATCAACTATCTGATCTCGGACAGCATCATAGAGAGAATCAAGATGCCCCATTGAATTAATAGTCTTACGCTCGATATCTTTAGATTGATACCCTATTGAAATTTCACTGATTGATTTCGCTATGTTTGTTAACTTAACAAATGTCTGTCACAAAAAAAAATTTATTGATACAAATATATTAATTTACTTTGATTAAGAACAAATTTTGAAAAAAGTTTAGTTTCATGTAATATGTTTTTGATATATATTCATGCTACTATATTTGTATAATAGACAACTACTTTTCCAAACGACCACTGGATGACTCATATTAGTATTGACAGACGTTTGAAATTATTTAAACATAAAATCTTATTATTACCATTTAAAAATGAATTTTTCTATTTTTATATAACTATCCTTAAAGGTGCTGTAAAAAAAATGATTTTTCTATCGCCTACCTAGAGACTTAGAATGAAATCATTAATAGAAAGCGTAACATTTCGACAAAGAGAAGTCTTTATGTCTACTAAGTGAATAACAACATTAACTTTTTACTTACTTTTACATCCGCTATTTGCAAACACTTTTGATGTTAGGAGATTTAGAAAAAAAAGGATGTGTTGTTCATATTTCGATAAATATTACTTGACATATGTGTTTCGCTGCTGCGTTCGAAACATGTAAAGAAGGAGTAAAAATATTTTTGTCAAGGAAAAACTAATTCATGTTTTTTCTTAAATCACATGCATAGTAAGAAGAAATTAATGCAATCATAATTATTTATTCATAATTAGATATTTTGTTTTCGAAAAAACAAAGATCTGCGAATACATTATAAAAAAAACATTCATTAATGTATTAATTCATTTGTAGATTGTTTTGTCTCATTCTATTAGCATATCGATGTATATATCAGAAACTAACATTCATTATTAATTTCTTAAAATTCTCAAAAGGTGAAGGAATATGTAATCTATTAAATGTAAAAGTGCTCTGAACTTTAAATGAAAATCTAGGAACATATGCAAATTACAGGACAACTTCATGTTATTTTATAATACTTTTTGGTTCTTGTTCGATAGTAAATATTGGTCAACATGTTTCCGAATATATTCATGTTGAGCCTTTTCTATTCTTCTGATAAAATGCATATGCATTTAATTGAATTTTATATTTGCTCAAATATTTTTCTCTCTACGGATTCTTTCTATTAAACCTAACATAAATTGATTATCTTTCGTAGAACAAGCTTAATGAGACTGTAGTGTGGTTGGTATCTGGATGTTTCTTGCATCAATATTCGCATCAACATCCATACTCTTGAAGTAAGCAAACATAACCACACCATTCATTTAATTTTATATGACACTCCCGCCAGTCGAAGGTAGTATATAAAAAAAAAAGAGAACAACACTAAGATAACGATATTTACTGTGAGATAATTTAGAACTAAAGCATTATTTTGTACTTTCAAGCTCGAACATAAAATTTATATCATTGAGATATGAGTATAGAAATACATTATATACTGAAGATAATATAACGTATGTTTTGTTACTACTGTAAGAGTGATAGACAAATATAAAATAGTGTGAGACCTTTTTGAAACACATAGTATGTATTACAATCAATTGTACAATGAGAATGCCAGTGAAAAGTTTGAACTACGTAAATGGTACCATCACCCTCGCTTTAAAATTATCTTCATATCTTTTTTCACTCTAACAATAGTTGCAGTTACTTTTTCTTTGCTACTAAAATTCGTAATCCTTACACCGAGAAAGCCAACGACCTCTATCGCTACTGCCACATCAACTCTTTCAATAATCACAAGATCAGAACAGCCAACAATAACAGTACCACCATCAACGACTCAAGCGTCAACAACAACAACAACAACAACAATACCAACATCGATTTCGACATCAACTGCGATCACTACTCAACAACCAGGTAAGATTTATTATAACGTGTATTAACCATCCTAAATACTACTTTGGCCATGAAACGGTGAAAGACAACGCACCATTACAATATTGGTTTGTTGTCGTTAGGAAATAATTTAATTTGAATCAGGTTCAACGCTAATTCTTTGAATAAAATGTATCAGATAAGATTTCGCTATACAGTTTGCACATATCTAACTGACTTTTGAGATCGTACAAAGCGAGAAAAGTGTTGTTTTCTTCGATAATCAATAAAATACTTAGAATACATGACGCCACTTCACAATCGGTTTCGATTGTAAAGATAATTCGTATAGATTTCTTTTATTTTCATTTGAGTAGCAAAGATAACCAAGAGAACTATATAAATTCAATATGATTATTAGACGAGAGTTGTACATATGCATATATATTCATATCGAATGTAGATAATCATCAATCTATGTATTTTTTCAATTCAAAATGCATAAAAAAATGCTGCTTTTATGAATGCGGGTAACAAAAATACACAAACCAGGATTGAAGCGAATATAATTAAAATGGAACAAACAAAACCTATCAGATATATAAATCAAACATAATCAGGTTTTTCTAGATTTGTGCTAGTGGAACTCTTAAAGATGCATCGCTTCAGATTGTGTCTCTTCTTTTTAAAATTAAGATTCAATATTGCAATTTGCTTAAGTCTGTTGATATATAATATCATCTTTTCTGCACTTGAAACTAATATTCACTATATAAAAGTCATTAGAGAGTAGGTAATTAGACGATTTTCTACAGAAATATTTGACGGTAATCATATGCTCCAAAATTACTACAGTTGTTAGATGTAGTTTGATCGAAACTCAGTTGAATTAATATAGACTTTCATTGATAATTATTTTGTTACTAATTGATTCTGATGGAATATATCTATTCATCTATAAATATAAACTTCTCGGCTGTTCTAATCATGATGAAAATCTATCACTTTCCTTTTCACATTCTAATCATGTTTATTTGCAATAGTTATCTAATATTCATTCTTTGCATAGATAAAATGAAATCAAACCTGTAAATAAATGATGCCTAATTGTTAGAATTGACCATAGCTGGACTTGAAAAGTCGAGTTTAAACAATCAGTATTATAAGATAGAGTCTCTGTACTTTAATCATAATAAATCATTGCATTCGTTAGTTTACGATAACTTTCGTATCTTTTTCGTCTGAGAAACATGATTATGACACTCACTTTTATCAAAAATATGAAGCTTATCGTTGTGCTATTACATGAACATTTTTCTCACGAGCTTAAATCACCTTTTACGTTCTCAGAAATTCGAATACTTTTGTCTTAAAACAATTAGATAATTCTCATTTTACATTTTTCAAACAAACCTGTGTGTGATTAAACAATATTGAGAGTTCCCTTGTCAAAATTCTTCTAGAATGAATACATTGAAATATCTTTATCTAGGATGGTCTAAAGTTAATAGTATGAATCATGCACGGCGAGATCATGCAGCATTCACATTAAAAAATGGAAAAGTATTAGTTTGTGGTGGATTTGATAATGGTGCAACGAGTAGTGCTGAGTTATATGATCCATCAACAAAAAATTGGACAACTATTGATAGTATGAATGATGCTCGAGGTGAACATACAGTATCCTTACTAAATAATGGCAAATTTTTAATTACTGGTGGACTTAGTAATGGAAATTTCCTAACTAGTACTGAGCTATATGATCCATCAAACGAGACATGGACAACTACTGGTGATATGAATGATCCACGGGGTGAACACATGGCATCTGTATTAATAAATGGAAAAGTCTTGTTGAGCGGTGGATATGGTAACGATCATTGGCTTAATACTGCTGAATTATATGACCCATCAACAGAGATTTGGACAATTACCGGTAGTATGAATAGTGCACGAAGCCAACATACATCATCTTTATTAACAAATGGAATGGTGTTAGTCACCGGTGGACACATACGTAGTGATGCTCTAAATAGTGCCGAATTATATGATCCATCAACCGAGACTTGGAAAAACATTGATAGTATGAATAGTACACGAAGTGAACACACGGCATCTCTATTAATGAATGGAAAAGTTTTAGTTACTGGTGGATTTCACAATAATGCTCTAAATAGTGCTGAGTTATATGATCCATTAACAGAATTATGGACAATCACTACTAGTATGAATCATAAACCATTGGAAACACACAGCAACTGTATTAGCAAATGGAAAAGTATTAGTGATAGGTGGATTTGAACATAATGCCCTAAATAGTGCTGAACTGTATGATCCAGTAACTGAAACATGGACAATTATTGATAATATGAATGTTGCACGAGGTGAACACACAACATCCGTACTTACCAATGGAAAAATACTAGTTGCTGGTGGATCCCCAGGTGGTACGTCATTGAAAGATGTAGAACTATATTCATTATTTTAAACAAGTTAACTTTAGTAACCCATATATAAATAATCAGTAAAAGAGTCGAAAATTGTTCGCATATATAAGTTTTAATTATAATAATCTATCACTATTTTTTAAAATGAATATTAAATTTATCAGTCCACACCCATATCCTTGTATTCTACTCATTATAATACAGACATTCAATAGATGTTTTATCACATACCAGCATTGAGATACAGGCTTATATTTATCCTCAAGTTTCAAGCCTTGTTATATTTAATTATAAGGCAAACGTTATTTTCCAACAATATTAAAAAAATTCATTTGTCTTCTCTTTCCGACAACCTCAATATAGCTGGACTACACCAACTAATAGGAATTGGGGACGAATACAGCTCACATTTGAGCTCTTTGCCTTGATTTACCCTCGGAAAGTCGTTTTTCCTCTAACTTGATTTCTATTGGTAACCGTTCAACCAATAAGATTTCGAAGCGAGTGGAGTAAAGATTTGAGTTCTTCGCCCCAGAAAATCTCGAAGTATCATCTCTGTCATCGGAAGCTAGAGATCTCATTGTGAATCAATTAGAGCGTGGACAAAATCAAAACCAATTTACGTTAATTATCTCTATAATAAATGAGTTAGCCTTGTTGTTTCCTAATGTTTTATATACCATTTTGTAGCTCGTGAAATTCTCTATCGAATGGTACATAATAGCTGTGGTTTTATTTGGCTATGAAAGGAAAAACTTTTTACGAAAGCGAAGATGGATCGATTTTAGCATAGGAAGGCATAGAGAAAAGTGACTATTTTTACAATAACTTAGGAACGACCGGCCAATCATTCTCATCTTCAAACTCATCCGAGATATTGTTAAGACTAAACTGTGTAGAAAATTTCACGGCGATCCAAACCTCCTTTCAAAATTTATCGTGTAAACGAACGGACGGCTGAACACACTGATCGATTATAGAGTGTATTCGCTTTTTTGCATACACAATATACCTGCTTTATATTGAAATTTTCCCGAAAGAACATTGAAAAGATTTGTGTACAGTTACTTGCATTCATTTGCGAACATAAAATGAAAATTTCTACACCTAACAAGATCAGTTTTAGCCAGTTGGTTTTATTTTATTTTATGTTAATGGAAAAGCCTTCAATACAAACTTTTTATTATTTGTATTTCAGAGCATTAATTGAAAACAAACAATTTTACTGTTTCTCTTTAACCATTTGAGTCCCAGTGGGATATATATTTCCCACCTACGGAAAATTTATGTTTTTCAAAAAATTTCAGAATTATTTGAGGTTTTTAAGATCTAGAAGGAATATTTTCAACAAAGATTCGTAGTTAAGATATATTGTTGAAGGATTGTATAGATATTCTTGTAAATAGGGGTTATCGAATAGTGTACTGTCGCGGGTCTATATGTGATTTCGCAAAGTTTTTCTCAACAATCTAAATTTTGAAAAACTTGTTTTATGAGTCATCGTGTCGTGATGAAATTTATACAGGAAAAACTACAGAACGATATTTGTCATTAGGAGAGCATGTAGTTATATCATTAGTAAATGGAATAAGTATGAAGAATCGTCACTTATTTTTTGATAGTTATTTCACCTCCTTACAATTACTTTACAAGCTGAAGAGAAAAAAGATTTCAGCTACCGGTACAATTCGATCCGATAGAAAATATTTTCCAACTGAATTGAAGAAAGATGAACAATTGGAGAGAGGCGATTATCGATACCTAACAGCTAATGGAGTTTCTGTAATAAAATGGATGGACAAGAAAGAAGTTCTAGTTGCATCAAACTACTTTGATCCCGAAGTATCAAGTGAAGTTACTCGACGAGATAAAGATGGTAGTAGAAAGCAAATTTCTTCTCCATTAGCAATTGTTCAGTACAACAAGTACATGGGAGGAGTGGATTTATCGGATCAAAAAATAAAGTATTATACAATTGATCGAAAGTCAAAGAGAAACTGGATGAGAATATTTTTTCATTTTCTTGGAATGGCAGTGGTGAATTCATTTATCTATTATAAAGATCTTTCTGGTAGTAATATTAGTACTGTAAAATATATATCATATATTAGCACCGCACTAATAAGTAATTATTGTAGTAGAAAACGACTAGGAAGATCTTTGGCAATGAGTAATCAGAAGAAGATCCGCACCGAGAAGAGCATTAGTGATACGGAAAATTCTGAAAAAGCACGATTGTTAGCTCATTTGCCAGATGTTATTTCAACTTATCGTAGATGCGCTTATTGTAGTACAAAAGAAAGAGAAAAAAGAACGAATGTAATATGTATTTTTTGTGGTGTTTGTCTCTGTGTGAAAAATTGTTTTTCGTTGTATCATCAAAACTATGTGTATCAGCAATGAACTAAATAAATATATACTCATACAATGGCACAGTTTTTTATTGTAACTTAACCAGAGGTCTCGTAATACCATCTAGTCACTTAGTACTATGCTTTGTCAAACTTAAATTCAATAAAAAAAAGTCGGGACTCAAAGGGTTAATGAATTAAAATTCCATCTAATGCACTAAACTAATTAATATTTTTCTTTTCCTCCTTTTCAATTGAATCACATAATTTCATTGTGAGTGTGGGTGTTAATTATCTTTTGGTGCCCATTCACGCTTGACATCCACACCTATACCCATACTCATACCCTTAAAGAAGAACAATGACAAAATAGAAGAAAGCCAGTATTCAACAAGAAATAGAGAGACAAATTAATTAGATTAAAAGTTTTCTACGAATTCGAAGAAATTCACCTAATGTCTGATGCATCTGATCAATACACAGATGTAGACCTATTAAAAACTAAATTTTTTACAAAAATGAGCTGAGATGTTAAAGAGATCGTTAAAGATTTGTGTGCATTTGATCTAACGTCAACTGCATCTAAATTTTGCCGACCATATGGTTGTTATATAATTTTCGTTGGACTTTTAACAAGTCACAAACATTTTGATAAATTCACAAAAATGTTTCAGGATAAAGAAGAATTCTATGAAAAAATAACATTCTTTTTAAAATATGGAGCTTTAGATAAAAAACAGCTGTTGAACAATTCATTGATGACTGTAAACGTCGGTTTTATACGAAGACTATTTTAATTTTGCTGTGTTTGCTATACCCAAAAGAAAAATAGCATGTGAACAATTAAACAATGTTTGTTGCCATCACGAACTCAGGTCAAATTCACTGTATTGAATTCCATCGGACATTTTCTACCGTAATCCGATGACATATACTATTTCCATTTAACGTTCGCACATAGGATGCATTGGAATCCGATCCAATTAACGTTGTAGGAAACGATATCATCCGACTCATAGAGTCTGTTGCATTCAATATGATATGGTGCTTTCTAATATCAGACAATTATCAAATTTCGTCGTATCAAATTGTATTTGAGACAAGATTACACGGCAAAACTCTTTTAATTCCTAGCACGTAACATGTGAAATGGTATAAAAGTCGACCGGTATCACCCAGCTGACTTCGTTGTTTTCGACAATGTACTTTCGACAAGAATCATTTATGCCCGGCGATCGTATGTAAACACTAGATGAGTGTAGGTGTACATCTGTTTTGTAACCCGCACCCTTACCTACACCAACACCCAAAAATTGACACTTGCAGATTGATTTATATTCTAAAAATATGAGTCGATCGGTTTAGCATTGATTTACACACACGCACACCTACAGCCACACCCATTCTCTGTGTTAATATTCTGATGAAGACTTTAGACATTGACCAGTAGAGCAAAACGTACGATTCGGATACAAGATGGTTTTCGTTTGAACTATTACATGTATATGTTCGCAATCACATTCGTCTTTCGACAGCATTTTCTCTTCGACCATCTTATACATATCGAAAATAACCTTTTGCTACGTTTAAAATGAAATCTATATAATCGAAGCGTAAGCATTATGCAGGACAATATAAATATATAACCCAATGCTGTTTTCAGCCGATTAAATAAGAAGAAAACAAAAAACCATAATATGCCCGATTGAAGTACCATATCGATGATATGATATATACTCCAAAAGCTTGTAAACTGGCGAAAGATTAAATTGCAAGTAATACGTTTATCGTTGCAATAATATTTTTGATTATTTCCTCCAATGCCGCCTCTTCGAATATTTCCTCCAGCAGGATTACCATATCGTTGTAAATATAAATACAATCGCCATTGAACTCGTACACGTGATTTAGGAGGATCCCTATCCTTCATTCCTCCTTCATGTTCAAGATGAATATGATATTCTGGACATCTTGTAAGATTCGTATAATATATAAAAACTTGATCAGCACTTAGAGAAGAGGGTGTGGGTGGGTGTGGGGTGTGGGTGTGGGTGTGGGTGCGTTTATTACTTTTAAGAACACCCACACCCACACCCACACCCACACCCACACCCACACCCACACCCACACCCACACCCACCCCCACACCCCCACCCCCACCCCCCCCCCCACCCCCC